TATATATATATATATATAATATTGAAGATTTCAAGTTTTTCTACAACTTTTTGTTTTTATTTTTAAAGAGGAATACTCCCCCCCCCCCCAAATTAAATAAAACCACAAAACCTACTTCAGTCTAGCATTCTAGCTCTCAACTTTTTTTTATGAATGCCATCCAGTGTATTTGAAACACACTTGAAGCACTTGTGGGCTGAGTCACCCAATATAATGTCATAGCTCTCTGACCTTCCAAGTCTTTGAGTGCTTTTATTCTACGACTTCTGTAATTGAGTGTACTTATAATTTTCTGAATTAACTTACAGAATGACAGGGTTAGTGCTGATGATTTTGATTTTACTAAAATATTTTGCTGGATAAACATGTAGAAAAGCACACCTACCATCTAATAATTTTTTTTCAAGTTGAAAGTTTATATTTTATTTTTGAGTCAAACTGCTTTCTTGTATCCAAGAAATAAAAAATGAAGAGAAAATTTAAATAAAGTATGTTTCCCCATAAAACTTTTAATCTATCATAACTGATTAGCTTTTAATATTCTGTGACCTCAAACAAAAAAAATGAGGTTATTTGTGAATTTCAGGAGGAAATTTACTTCAGTTTTCTTATCTGGCTGTTATCCCAAGGTATTTGAATCTTAACCAAAAAGTTTAAACGATTACATGGTTCATCAAAATGATTCTGATAAAAGATAAATATTATAATAATTTCTAAAAGATTATGCTTATTACTAATTTACTTTAGAATATATACATGTCTTTTATAATACATTTTCTCTTTAACCAAGACAGGGACAGATCCAGGATTTCTGAAAAAAATGGGTCCACAAAACACCTCCACAGGTGTCAGAAGATGACTCCTCCCAAGAAATTGTTATAATTAATAAACATGATCTGGTGAAATTTCTTTCATTTTTGCCCTTTGTTAAAACTACTTTTTTCTCTCTTTATGAAGGGTCTGTAATCATCTAAGATCATCTTTCTCTAATTACCATTTTGGCAAGGATAGCACTGATCAAGTATGGCGTGAAATGTATGTTACAAAAGCAAAGCTCTATAGAAAAGAGTAAGGTCCTATTATAGAATTAGACTTAATTAATTGTTGTCTCCTCTATGTTTAATTTGTATTTTAATATTTTTGGATCCACTAGATCCCTTCCCATGTAGAGGCGAACAATTTTATATTTCTAGAAGAAATAAGCTCCAACTTCCTGCACGTAGAAATAATCTTACTCTTTCTACAAAAAAGAGCAATTATGCAAAGTCTGGGAGCTGGGGAGACAATTTGCTGTTATTTGGGAAATCAACTATTTTACACTCTCTTAAGGAATTAACAATCCTTTCTTTCTGAAGGATGTGAAAATATTCATCTTTCTTAGGGGTAAAATAAACTTATTCAACCTTTTTGGAAGACAAAGAATAATCTTTTTTTGTAAAGAAGGAGAAATTCTTAGCCATCCTGGATAGCAAAGATAATATCGCAATCTTTAGAGAAACTTTTGTTGCATACAGTTTTATTGTTTGCAGGAAAGATAAAAATATTTCTGTAATTAGAGAACTGAACAATTTATTTTCAAGTATACAACTTAATCATAAAATTGTTTTAGTAATGATTACATGAAGAATCCCCCCTCCAAGCCGTACAATACATTTTAATATCGCAGGAAATTGGCAATGTTTCAATACACAGCGAATAAAACTAATACTATTATTAGCAGTAAGTACACTTGCTCTACCGATTTATGGTGGCACTAAGATTCTACTTTGAAGTTTCGAAGTATCAGGTTATTTAACGTTTTACACTTGTTGAGTACTCTATGAAAAGTATCAACTAAACATAGATACTAAGACGGATAACATTTTATCCACATCACATTGTACACTATACCCAGTTAGAACATGTTTTCAATGAGACAAGTTCGTGGAAAAACAATCTAGCACACAGGAGCCCTTCAGTTATGTGTACTTCGGCCGAAACATACCCCAAATTGTTTTCCTTTTAACTTTATCGGAACATCCACAAGCACACATCATGGATCAACAACGTCTGATGTTTTTTTTTTATCCCAAGTTACCAGAGAGACAGCTCACAAAACTGTACAAACAAAATCGGAACAACAAACAAAGAAAAGATGCAAACATCCAAAAAGTTTTCTGGTTACACAAAAACCTGATACTTGGCTGTGAGTTTTCCGAAATGATATTTCTGACTTTTCAATAACAATTACCTATTTCATTATAATAACACTAGTATTTCAAATAACTACGTCCAGTTGTGACTACTGTCAGTAACTAATTGTGTGTGCTGTACATATTTAATAGTATTTGAATACGATTAACGTGGCCAATATTTATTCAATAATTCGATAAAAAAAATTGTTGCTTCATATCTATACGGTAAAGTACAAAAATGTTGTAATGTTAGAATACGTTTCCAAATGAAATTAAAATTA